ATATATATATATATATATATATATATATATATATATATATATATATATATATATATATAAATATATATATATTTATATATATATAATTACTGTTTAAATGTAAGTTGTCCCTCTCGGTGACCCATATGGAACATGGTCCACTCGAAATTTGTATGCCCACTTGCCTTTGTGAAGCTACGCCATCTTGACGTCAGCTTGGGGAATCCTGACACATCTCGTTTCTTGTGAGTCGTTTTAGCGTCATAAAATGGAAATGGCGAAGGACACATGATTAATTTTTAATGAATTGAATCGAAAATTAGCAATAATGCTTATTTAATTGCAAATAAACGTGCTTCAAAATTCATTTATGACTTTAATAATGTCATAATAATGCGCGGCATTGTCCCACGAATATTTTAATTAAACCTCTACGAAAATCTCGGGCCCTTGTAAATGTGAGACCTGGGTCAAATGGCCCACACCACCTGAAAAATAAATGTTCGTAGGTATTAGAAGTATTCACCCTTTTGAATGTTTTTGAAAAAATTATATAGGTCTACTAATGTTGAGTGGATGACTGGATTGTCCAAGCGACCCGGAACAAAAACCACATGTTACATTGTTTCTTAAATACCAACTTTCCTAATGGTTCACCTGAATTTTTTATGGTGTCCCTGTTCATTGTTAATGTTATTCTAAAAAAGTTACTGTTTATTTTTGGGTTTATTTTTGTTTACACTATTTTGAATAATTTAGAACGAAAAAAGTCAAGGGGGCTTACTCTGCTTTTCTGCACTTCCGATGATTTATATATTAGTAAGTTCCCTTGACACGCAACATTTTTTTTTATCTTTTCTATTTTTATCCAGAAGTCGACCTAATTAAAAATAAACAACTTTAAACTTGATCTATTTCCGAATGTTCTACTCAGTGAATTAAAAAAAAAAAAATCTCCACAACAGCAACTAAACAAAATATTTAAAAATTGGATCCTCTCAATGGCGTAGGAAGGAGGGTGCGGAGGTTGGGGGGGGGGTGGATCCACCCAGGGCGAATTTTTTTCTCTACGGTTGGTGCGCCTGTCTTCTGACTAATGATGTGTAAGTCGTTTCTCGGTGAATTCTTGACTTACGGAACACAAACAACACGCGCCATCTCATTTAACCTTTTCACATCCCAAACAGGTTCCTTGAGCCACTCCGGATCCAGACGTTTTACTGGCCTGAAATGCGTTTCTTCCACTCTACACAATCCCAGGAACGCATCTACTCGGTATAAAAAAAAATATATAAATACATTTACAACACCTTTTATAATTATCGACAAACAACATCACATTACTTACTGCTAAAATCAATAACGATAATAAAAAAAAATGTTTGCACATTGAATAGAAACGTTGCTTTTCAAAAGTAAAATATTAATACTATTACTATTAAGGCATGGCTGGTTTCTTGTTGCATGCTTTCGATAATGACTGTAAATTTAACTACTTAAGTCTAATTTAATGCTCATTTAAATGATTCAAAAAATGGGAAACCGTTTAAACCGGAACACATCTACCTCTACTATTAGTTGAAAGACTAATCCGTTTTGTCTAACCGTTCTTCAACTACATTTTGCATCTACAGCAACCCCCCCCCCCCCAACCTCTATTTCCATAAAAAAAAATCCTACCCCCTTCCCAACCTTTCCCGGTTTAAAAATATTTTTGAAATAAAACAACAAAAAAAATATTTCTTTTAGTTGTTGTCCTTGAATTTGTGCCTTTCTTAAAGTCAATGGTTACAAGTTTGAGGCAATGAAGTTGTTAACTAGAGAAATTCCCCATGTTTCAGGAAAGGGGGGGGGGGGTGTGAGTGAACAGAACACTCGGGTATTTATTGCCAATGATTGTGTGGCATTCATTCAAGAACCATAAATAAACACAACTTAACAATCATGTGATCATTAATCACCAACCCACATCCTAAATTTTGATGAAAATGAAGCGCTTAGTTAACACAAACCTTTCTAAATTAGTTTACAAAGAATAATAACTTTCACGCAATGTATTGCTGCCTTGGTAACTGATTTCGAAGGGTCTAAATCAGGCCTGCACAACATACGGCCTGTGGGCCCCATGTGGCCCGCCAGCACCCACTTTGTGGCCTGCGAGGTAACAAAAAAATATTTTTTCTTATTATTCTCTTAATAGCCCCCCCCCCCGACCTCTATTCTTTTGGCCCGCACAAGTCCTGTCCTATTTTCTTTTGGCCCGCACAAGTTGTTCATAGTGTATTACGGCCCGCCTTACAATTTCAGTTGTGCAGGCCTGGTCTAATTATTTAGAAAGTCAAATGTAAAACTTAAAATTAAATTATTGAAAAGGAAAATTCTGTGTTTACTAGAGATTTGACTTTATTATTGGTGCAGCCTACTAATTTATAATCATGGCGACGATTGCAATTGGCGTCAGATCAAGGGCTCTTCGCTTTAAAAATAAAACTACTTGAGATGTCATTATATATATAGCTATATATATATATATATATATATATATATATATATATATATATATATATATATATATATATATATATATATATATATA